CTAGAAATTGGGTAGTGGTGTTAGAGGCGTTTATGTTGCTCCTGTAGAAGTGTGGGTGTCGCTCCAAACACACACACACACACACACACACACACTAGGTCAATTACTTCTTTGTCGTATTTTGAATTTGTCTACAATGTTCTCAGCAACCCTAACCTAACCCTAACCTAATTTTTCAACATTTTTACATTTTCAACATTCTTCAACATTTTCAACATTTTTCAACATTTTTCCAACATTTCTTTAACATTTCTTCAACATTCTTCATATTCTTCAACATTTTCCAACATTCTTCAACATTTTCCAACATTCTTCAACATTTTCAACATTCTTCAACATTTTCCAACATTTTCATATTTTCCAACATTTTATCATTCTTCAACATTTCTTCAACATTTCAACATTCTTCAACATTCTTCAACATTTTTCCAACATTTTTCAACATTCTCCAACATTCTTCAACGATCTTCAACAACATTTTTCCAACATTCTTCAACATTCTTCAACATTCTTCATTATTTCCCCATCCTCATATTCTTGCTAATTAATTAATAATTTTTAGCAGTCTTTTAATTTCGTTTTCTTCTCTCTCTCTCTCTCTCAGACAATTAGAGAGAAAAAAAGAAGAGACTCTGTCTCAGGCAAATTTTTCCTCCACTAAATCTTGGTCGTGACACACTGCTGAGATATATGATCGTGGCCCTGCCTCTTGGCCTGAAGTCTTCTGTGGCCTGTGTGGTCTTCTGTGGCCTGTGTACAGGCCATGCAGACTGACTCTGTGGACCCTGTAAGCCCTCTACCTTGCTGTATTCCCCAGTGTGGTGCTGTGGCCCTGTGTGCTGGGTGGCCCTGTGTGGCCCTTGGAGAGTAATTGGGTTTATCCTTGAGTAATCACAGGCACTCTTGAGATAATTCTTGGAGGTTATCCTTGGGGAGTCCCTGGGAATCCCTTGAAGGTAATCCAGAAGATTATCCTTGGGTAATCCTTGGAGGTAATTCTTGGAGGTTATTCTTGAAGGTAATCCTTGGATTATTCTTGGATAATTCTTGGAGTTATCCTTAAAAATCTTAGGTAATTCTTGGAGGATATCCTTGGAGGTAATTCTTGGAGGTTATCCTTAGAGTAATCCTTGGAGGTAATTCTTGGAGGTTATCCTTGGAGGTAATTCTTGGAGGTAATCCTTGGAGGTAATCCTTGGAGGTTATCCCTTGGAGGTAATCCTTGGAGGTTATCCTTGGAGGTTATCTTGGAGGTAATCTGGAGGTAATTCTTGAGTTTATCCTTAGAGGTAATCCTTGGAGTAAATCATGGAGGTTATCCTTGGAGGTTATCCCTTGGAGGTAATCCTTAAGGTAATTCTTAAGGTTATCCTTGGAGGTAATCCTTGGAGATTATCCTTGGAGGTAATCCTTGGAGATTTATCCTTGGAGGTTATCCTTGGAGGTTATCCTTGGAGGTAATTCTTGGAGGTTATCCTTGGAGGTAATCCTTGGAGGTTATCTTGGAGGTAATCATGGAGGTTATCCTTGGAGGTTATCCTTGGAGGTTATCCTTGGAGGTAATTCTTGGAGGTTATCCTTGGAGGTAATCCTTGGAGGTTATCCTTGGAGGTAATCTGGAGGTTATCCTTGGAGGTTATCCTTGGAGGTTATCCTTGGAGGTTATCCTTGGAGGTTATCCTTGGAGTAATTCTTGGAGGAATGTGGCCAGCTTAAAGAACCGTGATTGGTCAGATTTTATTTTGGCTGTATATCTATCTATCTATCTATCTATCTATCTATCTATCTATCTATTGGTTTGGTTTGGTTAGGTTAGGTTAGGTTAGGTTGGAGTTAGGTTGGTTAAGGTTTGGTTAGGTTAGGTTAGGTTAGGTTTGGGTTTGGTTGGGTTGGGTTAGGTTAGGTTAGGTTAGGTTAGGTTAGGTTAGGTTAAGGTTGGTTTGGTTAGGTTTGGTTTAGTTTGGTTAGGTTAGGTTGGTTAGGTTTGGTTTGGTTAGGTTTAGTTAGGTTAGGTTTAGTTTTGGTTTGGTTAAGGTTAGGTTTGGTTTGGTTGGGTTAGGTTAGGTTAGGTTAGGTTAGGTTTGGTTAGGTTAGGTTTGGTTAGGTTAGGTTAGGTTTGGTTGGGTTTGGTTAGGTTTGGTTTGGTTTGGTTGGGTTAAAGTTGGGTTTGGTTGGGTTTGGTTTGGTTTGGTTTGGTTTAGTTAGGTTAGGTTAGGTTAGGTTAGGTTTGGTGGGTTAGGTTAGGTTAGGTTTGGTTAGGTTTGGTTTGGTTTGGTTAGAGTTAGGTTTGGTTGGGTTTGGTTTGGTTTGGTTTGGTTAGGTTTGGTTTGGTTAGGTTAGGTTAGGTTAGGTTTGGTTAGGTTAGGTTTGGTTTGGTTAGGTTGGGTTTGGTTGGGTTGGTTTGGTTTTGGTTTGGTTTGGTTAGGTTTGGTTTGGTTAGGTAGGTTTGGTTGGGTTTGGTTTGGTTTGGTTTGGTTTGGTTTGGTTAGGTTTGGTTAGGTTAGGTTAGGTTAGGTTTGGTTAGGTTAGGTTTGGTTTGGTTTGGTTAGGTTTGGTTTGGTTAGGTTAGGTTTGGTTGGGTTTGGTTTGGTTTGGTTTGGTTAGGTTTGGTTTGGTTAGGTTAGGTTAGGTTTGGTTTGGTTAGGTTAGGTTTGGTTGGGTTGGTTTAGTTGGTTTGGTTAGGTTAGGTTAGGTTAGGTTTGGTTAGGTTAGGTTTGGTTAGGTTAGGTTAGGTTTGGTTAGGTTTGGTTGAGTTTGGTTTGGTTTGGTTGGTTAGGTTAGGTTTGGTTGGGTTTGGTTTGGTTTGGTTTGGTTTGGTTAGGTTAGGTTAGGTTGGGTTTGGTTTGGTTAGGTTAGGTTAGGTTTGGTTAAGGTTTGGTTTGGCTTGGTTAGGTTAGGATAGGTTTGGTTTGGTTAGGTTAGATTTGGTTGGGATTGGGGTTTGGTTTGGTTAAGGTTTTGGTTTGGTTAGGTTAAGTTGGGTTGGTTTGGTTAAGTTAGGTTTGGTTGGGTTTGGTTTAAGGTTAAGGTTAGGGGTTTGGTTAGGTTAGGTTTGGTTGGGTTTGGTTTGGTTTGGTTAGGTTTGTTGGTTAGGTTAGGTTAGGTTTGGTTTGGTTAGGTTAGAGTTTGGTTGGGTTTGGTTTGGTTTGGTTTGGAAGTTGGGTTTGGTATTAAGTTTGGTTTGGTTAGGTTAGAAGGTTTGGTTAGGTTGGGTTTGGTTAGGTTAGGTTAGGTTTGGTTTAGGTTTGGTTAGGTTTTGGTTAGGTTAGGTTTGGTTTGGTTAGGTTGAGTTAGGTTTGGTTAGGTTAGGTTTGGTTAGGTTTGGTTAGGTTAGGTTAAGTTTGGTTAGGTTAGAGTTAGGTTTGGTTTGGTTAGGTTAGGTTTGGTTGGGTTTGGTTAGGTTAGGTTTGGTTGGGTTTTGGTTAGGTTAGGTTTGGATTAGGTTAAGGTTAAGGTTTGGTTTGGTTAGGTTAGGTTAGGTTAGGTTTGGTTTGGTTGGGTTAGGTTTGGTTGGGTTTGGTTAGGTTAGGTTAGGTTAGGTTAAGGTTAGGTTAGGTTAGGTTTGGTTTGGTTAGGTTAGGTTAGGTTTGGTTAGGTTAGGTTTGGTTAAGGTTAGGTTAGGTTTGGTTAGGTTAGGTTAGGTTTGGTTAGAGTTAGGTTTAGTTTGGTTTGATTAGGTTAGGTTAGGTTAGGTTAGGTTTGGTTTGGTTAGGTTAGGTTTGAGTTAGGTTAGGTTAGGTTAGGTTAGGTTAGGTTAAATTTGGTTAGGTTAGGTTAGGTTAGGTTAGGTTAGGTTAGGTTAGGTTAGGTTAGGTTTGGTTGGGTTAGGTTAGGTTTGGTTAGGTTAGGTTAGGTTTGGTTAGGTTAGGTTTGGTTTGGTTTGGTTAGGTTAGGTTAGGTTAGGTTAGGTTAGGTTAGGTTAGGTTAGGTTAGGTTAGGTTAGGTTAAGGTTTGGTTAGAAAAAAAAAAAAAAAAAGGTTTGGTTAGGTTAGGTTAGGTTAGGTTAGGTATTTGGTTAGGTTAAGTTAGGTTAGGTTTGGTTGGGTTTGGTTGGGTTAGGATAGGCCAGAATATATATATAAACATGGGGTTGTGTTGACGAGAAGTTTACGAAAAGGCATGATAAATGATGTTATTTATATGACGGAAATAACATCACGTTGTATCATGGGAGCTTAGAGAGAGAGAGAGAGAGAGAGAGATTCCAAATAATTCTACTATTAAATCAGATATACAACTGTCTACAAAGGAACTGATATCTTTAGACCGACAGGTTACACAGTCACAGAGGTATAGTGAGGGATCAAGTTTTCTGTGATTTATGTCAAATTCATTGTTATTATCAAACAAAAAAACAAACAAACACAACCAAAACAACCACACAACAACAAACAAACACCCAAACCACAACAACCAAAACCCCACAACCAACAAAACAACAACAACAACCTGGCACAACACAACCTAATGTAAATAATCTCAACCTAACTAACACAACCAACAACTAACCTAAACCTAATCTAATCTAACGTTGATCTAACCTAACTTTAACCTACAACTAATGTAAGTTCAAACCTTAACCTAATCTAACCTTAACCTATCTAATCTAACGTTGATCTAACCTAATTTAACTAACCACCCCAACACCACAAAACACCACAAACACCAAACACACAAAACACACAAACAACCACCACAAACACACAAACACAAACCCCCAAACACACAAAAACTACCTACGCATATGACCAGCCCCTGTAAACGCACTAGTGAAGGGAACTGTACCTAGGCTATGACCAGCCCCTGTAAACGCACTAGTGAAGGGGACTGTACCTAGGCTATATACGCCTAAACCTGAATGAAGAGGACTGTACCTAGGCTATATGACCAGCCTGTAAACGCACTAGTGAAGGGGACTGTACCTAGGCTATGACCAGCCTGTAAGCACTAGTGAAGGGGACTGTACCTAGACATATGACCAGCCCCTGTAAGCACTAGTG